ATATTTAACTTGAGCTCCACGTAGCAAATACATCCCAAAGTTCCTTTAATTGGTTTCTTTAACTTTTGTTGGATTTGCCCACGTGTGGAATTAATCCATTCACGTTGCCAAGCAATGCACACACGTCCACCACGTTGCATCCTACTTGTTAACGTGGATGAGCTTGAATAATAAGCCCAAATATCCATTAAGAATGCTCTTAATTGATCCTGATATCTCTTTATTCGAACCTTTATTTTCGGACTACGGCAATAGAATATCGTGCTAGTTGATATCTCATCACTTTCGCTCTATCACGCCATCTTTGTTCCTCCCGGCTGGCGACATTCTGGATGCTCTTGAGATTGCCGTTGAAGGGCAGAATGTCGTTGAAGGGGAGGATGTTGTTATATGGGTTAGTAGCGGTTACAATGATAGCAGCAGAAGTGACACCAATATTGATGATGGACCCGATTTGGAGCCCTTTGTTGAAGCTCTCCAGGCCCTGCTGGTGTATGGTTCTGATGATATCGACGATGATGCTTAAGGGGAGCTTCACCCTATCTTATTTCGTTGAGTTAGTTTGTTTAAGGGGAACTTTGAGAGATGCTTTTCGGTTAGATGATCAGTTTGGATTTGTGCTTTTGGTTTCCTTGGTTGTTGTCTCGTATTGGCTTTGATGTTTTTGGATGATGTTTGGACTTGGACATTTTATTCTCTATAATGGTTGAATGCTTCATATCTTTTGGTCGAAAGAAGGTGTGTTCTTTTTCGCAGGCAATCGACAATTTCTTATTTAAGGGGAGATTGTTGATCAAACTTACCAAATCAGAATTGCTCTACAGAAGGAAGGAAGACAGCCAGAGACAACACAGAGTTACCTTATGAGATTTACCTCTGAATTCAAAAGCAACGTCGGGAAAAACTGAAAGCTATATAAATCGGGGCTCTTCTTCTAGCTACGTACTTTTTGTAAGGGCGGAACAGGGCTGTTTACAAACTGGGTTAATTAGATCAGAGGAAGAGGTTATGTTTGATTAACGGTGTAACGGGTATGGGTTTGGGATCCGGGTTGAATATTCTGCTGTCTTTCATTGTTTCTTTTTTAGTCTGTGTTTGCTTTCCATTTGCCTGATAGGAAAAATCTAATAAAAAGAGAGTCTCCTAGACATCAGTGAAGTATTGAGTCTAGGACGAGTACTGACCAGTAGATTGGGGACCTCGTTAAAATTGCTTGTGTTCATTTACCTTTCAGCACTCTTAGTTTCTCGGTATTTTTCTTGTCTTGCTCTGCTCTAGTGAAAGACTCTGTTTCTAAGGACTGTTGTACGGGGAAGAAGAAGAGTCTAGGTGAATTGGACCAGGTGTTCGATTTTGGGCTTTTTCTCCATAAGCCTGATCTGTTTTCAATTGAAAATCTCTTTTTTAATTGTCTGTGTTACATATTCTCATTAGGCTCTCACAATCGTAAGCCCATTGTCTAGTTGAAAGGAGAAAATAGATGTCCATCTCGCATTTCCTGCTTCTGGAAATCTAAATACCTAAGTTTTCTCCAATCTCTTCCCGATTACACAATATTGAGTTCTTCTAAACCAGACACTCTCACGCTCTCGCTCCCGTTCCCACTCTCGCTCCACGAACTAGTTACCTAATCCGGACCATTAATAAAGTGGACCTTTCATCTCCGCCATTGATGTTCCTTTGGAGTACGATCTTCTAAGAGTGCACGATGCACCATAACCAAATTATTGGACTATCAATCCCCTAGCGGTCACTTCCTTCAGGTTGTATCAGAAATTGGAACGATCCAAAGAATACATGGTAGAAAGAGGAAGAAAGATCACGGGACGGAGGTTAATCAGTCGGTTATAGGGTGCATAACCATCGGTTATGCACCATCAATAACTAAATCTGGACCCTTCGTTTAGAAAATCCAGATCTAAAGATGGAGAATTAAAGACCATTTTTATTTTCTCTAGCTTTCTTAATCGGCTCATATCTTCTTCGTTTTAACTCGGATTTTAATTTTTTTTGCACAGATCCATTTTCAATATTTTTTGCGAAAAAAATTTTCTTGCCTCTCAGTACCAACTGCATACCATATGGTATTTTCTTCGTTTTTAATTCGTTTTTTAAAACGTTTGCACAGAAGGAACGTGTTCATCATGATCTATCTGATCTACAGATTTCTGGGTGAACAAATTACAGGACCAAAAAATACCACACAATACCACCCTGGTACGGGTGGTATCTTGTGGTAAACAATGTTAAAAATCGTAAATGACAGTTAATATACTTCTACTATCATGTATTCAACCATCCTACAGTCTTGGTTTGTTCATACCACCATGGTACGCTTTTCAAACCATAGGTATGCTCTTATTTCAATACCATATGATATAGACTGGTAAAAAATAGGTCAATTGTTTTTGTTCGAAAAATATATCAAAGTGGATATCATTTTGAAGAGCACAATTAATCTGATCTAACTGTGCAAAAAAAAATTAAATTTTTTTTTTTGGTGAAAAATAGGGCGCAAAGGGCGCCCTAACCTTAATTAAGAACTGACAAACCGGGGCGTTTGAATCCCCAAAGTACTTAAAACGAGTGAGAAATTAAATTTTGACTTAAAACGAGTGAGAAATTTTCGCCAAAGATTAAGGAGGGCAAAATTAAGGACTTTCCAGGAGAGAATGGACGGGGTGCTCATGGTTACTCGCCATAAGGTTACAGACCTGATCTGTTCCCTAATAAGCCACTTGAAATTTTTCATTTTCTGGTAATTATTTTCTCTGCCTCATTAATTTATGAATTCCTATCCAACAGAGCCAGCGAAAAATAACAATCAAACCAATTTGTGAGGGAGCAGACATGGTGACAACACCATATTTATTGTTATTGTAACAACATTAGTCTCCAACCAATAGGAAGCTAGGGTTGTGATGACTTTTTATTAGTTTATTTGACCTAGTGTAAAATCAAAGTAGGGGTATAATTGTCATTATGAAAAATATGTTTAAATAATAAAAAATAATGATAAAATAATTTTTTTATTTTTTATTTTCTGCCCAAAATTTTGCTCGCCGGAATTCGACCACCGGTCGCCGGTCACTGGAATATGCTTTTGACGACGGAATATGCTATTTTGTCATCCGAATATGCTCACCATCGCCGGAATATGCTCACAGTGGTCGGAATATGTTTACCGGCGTCGGAATCTAGTCATCAAGGCCGGAATATGCCTATTGGCGCCGGAATCTACTCACTGACGGTCATCGGAGTTTGGTCAACGATTTTCGTTGACTGGTCAACGGTCAACGACCACCGGATATAATGGTTTGCATTGTGAGATTGATGGTTTGGTTTCTCGTGTTTTTTTTATGCTATTTATGGTTTGCTTTATCGTGTTACTGGTTTGCATTAAGAAGTTTCTGGTGTGCTTTAAAATTTTTTGTGGTTTGCTTTGCGGGGTTTCTGGTTTGTTTTAATATATTTGAGGTATGCAGCAGGACGTTTCTGGTTTGTTTTTGTGGTTTGCTTTACCGTGTTTGTGGTTTGCATTAGGATGTTTCTAGTGTGCTTTCGCAAATGTTGTGGTTTGCATTGTGGGGTTTCTGGTTTGTTTTAGGAGATTTGTGTTATGCATTAGGAGGTTTCTGGTTTGCATTAAGAAGTTTCTGACGTGCTTTCGAAAATGTTGTGGTTTGCATTGTGAGGTTTCTGATTTGTTTTAATATATTTGTGGTCTGCATTAAGACGTTTATAGTTTGTTTTTTGTGGTTTGCTTTGCAGTGTTCATGGTTTGTATTATGAGGTTTCTGGTGTGCTTTCAAAATATTTGTGGTTTGCTTTGTGCGGTTTCTGGTATGTTTTAGAGAATTTGTGGTTTGTATTAGAAGGTTTTTGGTATGTTTTTTGTGGCTTATTTTATCGTGTTTGTGGTTTGTTTTATGAAGTTTCTGGTGTGCTTTAGAAATATTTGTGGTTTGCTTTGTGGTGTTTCTATTATGTTTTTGGAGACTTGTGGTTTGTATTTGAAGGTTTCTGGTAAACATTTTATGATTTGTTTAACCATGTTTGTGGGTTATATTACGAAGTTTTTGATGTGCTTATGAGATACTTGTGATCTGCATGCCAATAACTCCTAACTACGTACCATAAATACCATAATACATATCAAAACCAGGCTTCAAGAAAGCGCGCCTAGGCGGCCGCTTCAGCGAGCTTAAGCGCTAGGCTTTCAGCAAACGCCTCGCTTTCGCTATAAGCGCTAATAAAAGCGTTGCAAACGCTTTTGCAGAAGAAACACGCTTAAGCGGCGCTGAATCGTCCAAGGCGTTAGCGAAATCATGACATGAGTGTCAAAGAAGCGAGTCGCCATCCCGAGCTCCAGTAGAAAAAGGAAAGTAAAACAGCGCCGTACTTGTTTCTTTCTTCTCCCAAGTCCCAATGAAATCTGCTAGCTGTTAAGCTAGGTTAGAATGAATTCGACCTCAGCCGTTTATACTTTCTTTCATTGCTACAGCTAGGTTAGGACAAGGACGACCATTCCTTTGAGTGATGAGCTACATCTTCTTCCAGGCTGCCCGAGGCGATCTGCTAATCTTCCCGCCGACAGTCTCATCGACCGCTCCTTTAAGCAACGTCATCCATAATGTTGGCCGCTACTGAATGGTAGTCGACAATCATCAACAGCAGCGGTTGAATCACTGATTAGCTCTCTAAATCCTCTATCCTCTGCCTCTCAATTAATGGAAACTCTGCTTGTAGTAGTGTGTGGTTTCGTTGGGAAGCTTTAATTTCCTCTTGATTAATGGCATCGAACTACAGGGGTGGGATTCATTTTTTATTGTAAAAAAATATTAACTATTAACATAGACGTCTTGCAGAGGAGCCTCCTAAGTTTTGGCATGCATCCACATGTCAAATAAGCATGACACCTCACCAAATTTGCCTATATAGTCTTTAGATACTCTGCCACATACTAGAATGGAATGAAAGTGGTTGTTCTAGTAGCATTTAGGAATTTAATCTCATTATTAGTCTTCAGTTAACCTTGGTCTGCTAAAAAATGCCCATTTTCATGCTCTCTAGATCCAAAATTAACATTCTCAGTACATTGATAAGGTGGTAGCAAATGATTTAAAGCATGGTGTGATTAAATGAGTAAGTGTAGAGGGTTTTATTGTACACAGCAGCTCTAGTTGATGAATTTTATACATATATTTATGTTAAATTTGTGTTTAGTCTGAATAGAATTGAGTTTGGTGAATGGTAATTTCTAGTTAGTTGCTAGTTGTGAAGTTGTTATTTCGGAAAATTCAAAATTATGGGAACTTTTTTTCATTTTTTCTAGGAACGCCTAGGCGCGCCTAGGCAACGCCTAAGCGAGCCAAGCGCTAGACAGGAGCTCAACGCCCGCCTTACGCCTAGCACTTTCTTGAACCTTGATCAAAACACTAAGATACATTAAAAGAACCATCAAAACCATATAAAATCCTCAAAATTAATAATTTAATATCTACATTTACGAAACTATATATAATTGTAGTTTCACATTGCTCCCTAACCTTCTCCTTGCTTAACTCCAGGGAGGTCTCCCTTCTTCCATAGCTTTCCTCTTTGTGTTAATTTGCCCAAATTGATAGAAATGGATTAGGCCGCCTTCACGTATTCGGGACTTGGAAGATGGACGGCGTGAGTTGATGATGGAGGTCTAAATGAAGGATGCTTTTCGATCTGCTTTACTCATTCAGCCTCCGTCGATGCTGATTTCAGGATCATATACATACATGACGATGAGTAGCTTATTTTTAATTATTTCTTCTTCCCACCGACGGGCTAGAAATTTAGGGAAGCAGAAGTAGTACTCAGACCAACTAAATTGTTGAGCAATTAGCTTTAGCCAGAGGTAGATGACAACTGACTGACCTGGACTCATGTACAAAACCCCCTCCGGTCGGCGACGGCGTGACCCTGGACGACGGTGACGGTCAGCATCGGGAGGGAGACCAGCTCGGATCTGGAACAGCCCAGATCGAAGCCGTTGGAGAAGAATCGACCCTGAGATGAGGTGAAGAGGATCGAGCCCCTAGTGGCCTTGGATTTGGCTTGGCGGAGGGATGAGAGGACGGTGGCGATTATGGTCGTGCTGAGACGGTGGTCGTCGTTGTCACCTGGTTGAGCGGCGATGAACTCGGGGTGCCGTCGCCGCTGCAATTGTTGGGAAGAGGAGAGGGGTCCAGACTCCGGCGTAGCAGAATTCTTAGAGAAAGCGGTGATTAGGGGAGCAGCCGGGCAGGGGTTCATTCGTTGCTATTTGGGTTAATTTTGTCCGTTTACGTTTTTGTCATTGTTGTTACTATAACAACATTAAATGTGTTGTTATTTTATCCCGTCCCAATTTGTGATACTTCTGTTTAACCTTCACGGCACATTAGAATTCCCGATACATTACGTGCCACCACAGAGAAACTATATGTCGATTGAGACATATTACATAAAACGCAGCTAAGGAAACTACTACTGATGGAACACTTAACAGGCTGGCTCGAAGACGGCCGAAACAAAGAGCCGCAGAGAACGGCACAACGTAGCTAAATTGAAGGCTATTCAAAGGTATGAGCAAGGTTAGAAGAGGTAAAAGGGTTTTCTTTACTATGTTAAGCTATTCACTAGTTTGCTTCTGAGCTGGAGCCAAATTGTAGAGGACGAGACCAGACACAAGAGTCGCGCTCCCGACCAGGAAGTATGGACTCAAGGTTGATCCTTCGGGAAGATACGGTAATGGAAGCGATAGAACATAGATCGACAATGGCACTGCAAGTGGAAGGCACAACATAGGGACATTGTTAGCTCATGAAGTGAAGCGTCTGCCAGAGGAGGTGGAGAGTGAGAGAGGACCTGCTAATGTTGTGGCCAGAGAGGATACGACGGCAGATGAAAGCTTCATTAAGTTGAGCATGGACATGTTGAAGGTCAAGTTAGCGGCTATGTACAGCATTGGGAGCAGTGGAGCACCGGTGCAATCTGCAGTGTACAGAAACACACTTGTTTTAGCAACCTCCCAAATTTTCGCTGATCAAGCAAGAACCGGACTAACATGGATAATGTTGAACTTGCCTGGAGAGTCTGACCAGAGATTGAGAAAGCAGCCAGTGCCACTTTTCAGGTACAATGGAAGTTGTGCAAGCGGAATGCCCTTGAAGTTTGACATGAGGGGCAGAAAGAGAAGCACGAAAAGAGCCTGCAGATTAAAGAAACACAGCTTCTTGTATCAAAATAGTTCTTGATTTAATGCCATAGGAATGTCAAGCTACTACACACCGAAGCTTGATAGTTTTCTCACAGACTGCTATTGACAGAGAGCGTTCTGAGATTGATTTTCGGGTGCAATGCACCAATATTAAGAAAGAACCAACTTGCTGCATCAAGATCTTGTACTATGAGATATAACACAGGAAATTATGCATTTAATCCAACGCTCAATTCTCCCCACTACCCTAGCACCCTTATAGTTGCTATGCTCAGCAAGGGCAAAACGCCAAGCCAGCCACAGTCAAGTTAGCTACAACAAGTGCAGTTTACAAACAACTTCACTTTCGAATAGCTTATACCTATAAACCAAGCATCAACTTCATCTATTTCTCGCCCACCTTCCACAATATTATTAGATTTCAGCTTTACCAACCCAAAACTTAGAGCAAGAGATCCTGAATGCGAAGAATCTGTGCGTTACCTGAAATCCAGACCCCAGTGTATTGACGACAAATATGTCAAGCGATTTTCCCTGTGCATACAAAAACGACTCATTAAGACATTTGATTTGCACCAACTAGAAAAACCGGATGGCCACCAGATCCTGAAATAGTTAAGGCTATATATATATACCTTGAGCTTTTCAGAAGCATCAAGAAACACGAATTCCTGTTAACAAAAGCAAAGTTCATCAGTCTGCTGATACAGCTCACTTCAACTTAAAGACCCTCTTAAAAAGATTCTACCTTTAGTATCATGGCACCGGAGTGAAGAGCACTGGATAGTATCATCACACCCGCCCACATGTACTCGCTGCCAGATAACATGGACTCTTCGTTCGATCCACTGCGATCATATACGGGCAGAACAAGATTTGGTTACTAGCTAGCCATGCTTCTCTTTAAGCAGCAAGCAATGAATAAAACTAAGGAACAGACCAACTTAAGCACTCAGGTTCAAGCCTTCAAGGTAGAGTCGAAGAAAGGGAAGAACGGTATGATTATGAAGTAGAAAATATGAAGACAGAACGTGTAATTGATACCTTGACACAGCCATTACTACACCAAGAGCTACAAGCAAGCAGCCAGCCATTTGGCCGTATGAGTACCTTCGTCCCAAGAAAATGCTTGAGAAAGCAAGCTGCCACACCAAAAATGTCTGCCAAATATTTGAAAGCCAAAAGTTCAGCAAAAGAGCTACAATTAAAAGCTCTAGAGTGGCCAAATAGAGAAGCAGAAACAAGAGTTACCTGATGCAATAGAGGTATAGAAGGTCCAGGTAGATTTGCTGCCGCGTACATTCCAATCAGGGTTCCAACAGCTTCAAAAGCGCCAATGGCGACATAACGAGACTTGGGGAGGGCCAGCATTTCATCAGTCACTATCCCTGCACGGTACCGCATATGCAATATCGACGAGTAAATCACCACATACCTGTGGTTACGAGATTTATCAGAAGAAGAAGGAAAAAAAAAAACCCCTTTTTCTCAGATTATCAATCAGTCGAGTGAGTCAAAAGGAAAAAAAGAGGGGCAGAGATGACAGACCCGAAAGTGGTGAATTGAGCGAGGAAAAAAGGGTAATCCTTCATCGGAACCAGGGCTAGCTTGTACAGGACCCGATTTGCCACCGCCAGCCCGATCGTGGCCGCGGAGCTCGCCATTATCATGCCGCCGGTGGTGCCGGATCCCTCTCCTTCCTTTCCCCTTCCGCCGCCGCCGTCTTCGGGGCTCCCATTCGAACAAGACCGAACCTCGAAATCCCTAAATCTCGGAGTCGGGGATCCGAGCAGAGTGCGAACCCGACCGGAGAACGGCGATGATTGGAGTGGAGTCGTCGTCGTCAGCGGCGGCGGCGGATTGGGAAGAAGAACAGAGAGCCTCGCTAACCGTGCGCCGCTCCCGGGAAAGGACACCGAGAAGGAGGAGGAATTGGTGTCCCATCGGCGGAGGGACGTCGGGGAACGGAAGAGGAGGGAGCTAAACGACGCCGCGGCGGAGGAAGTTGCCATGGTTTGGGAGAAGAACAGAGTGGAATGGGGGTGAAAAGAAGTGTTCTTCGTCGTCACTCCATGAAAGTCGGAATCTTTAAGCTTGGGAATGCGTGAAAGTTTGGTTTAAAATTGTAAGCAGTAGAGTCGAAAATGGGGGGAAGGAAGAGTGATGAGTGATGAAGTCAATGGCGATGGAGTGGGTCGGACTGCTAGTTTTAGCGTTTAGTCGGAGAAATTGAAGAGTGGACGTCAAGGAAAATTGGAGGGGAAGGAAGCAGAGGCGTGGAAGCGAAGAAAGCTTGGGGCCGGAAAGAAAGCGAGGTGGAAGCGGCGGCGTTGGCGGTGGCAGGGGAAGGAGGTGGAGGACTGTCGTGAGAAGGAAGGAAGAGAAAGGAATTTTTTTTTTTTTTCCTTTTTGTTTTTTTGTCCGGATGAGGGATGCGATCAACGAACGAGGAATCATTTTTTCTCCAGAAACAGAAGTTGGTGTGGGAATCATAAATGCAGGCAGTGGAGATAGGTTTCCAGTTTCCCGCTTCGCTCCAGTCCAATCTGTAGTGGAGGGGAGTAAAGTCTTTCTTCCCCGCAAACAATCGCAACTTGGTTCTAACAAACATTTTTGTGTTTCCATGTCGATGATGCGTCCGCCTCACCGTGCACGTGTTTAACCTTATATTTCATAAAACTCAACGTGCTTTTTAATATTGTTTTCCCTTTACAAAGACATTTGTTATTGGATTAATATTCTAGTTTGGTCTAAAGTTCCGTGTACCCAATCGTTTTGGTCACATTTCTCAAACTGAATTCAGCATATTTATCGTTCTAAGTTTTTAAATTAATCGCTCTAAATTATACTGAATGGATGATTTTGCCCCCAAAAATAAATCGCCTAAACTTCACCTAACGTTGGCGAGCTTCCCTCTCCGTCTATCTTTCCCGACGAGTTGCCGCCTCCCTCTACTCCTGCACGCCTCGCCCGACCATCGGTGCCGCTGCTCTACTTCGGTGGCCCTTCTGCTCTACTCGCCTCGCTCGACGATCAACGTCGCCGCTGTGCTTCAGTTGCCTTCCTTTTCTCCTTCTTCAAAGGAAAAAAAAACCCTACATCACAAATTGAAACTTCTTAAATTGAGCAAGCGGTAGCCAAAGATCATGAGAAATGCATAGAAGAAAGAAGGGTCGTGATTCTGTCCAATATAAGGTGCTTTTGGTTCTTGTTACAGGAATTGGAAGGTGAAATTGGCGGTGAAGTTGTGGTGGGATTCACTGATCTGGGTGTGAGCATGAATCCTTATCCTGTCATGTTGAAGCTCTAGATTTGAGAAAGTGAACCTTGTCGAGTAAGAAGCGGAGGACGGCGGAGTGAATTTTTGGTCGGAGAGCGGAATGTTGGCCGGCGAGATTATTCATCCAAGGTTAGGTTAGAAATTGGGGGATAGGGACAAATGTGTCTACTTTTTAGTTTAGTGCGTTAAAATTTAAAAAATTTAGTGCGATAAATAGTAACTCTCTTCTCAAATAAGATATTTATCATCTATTTATGAAATTATTGAACTAATTTGACCCACAATTTTCTTTGACTTTAATAATGATCGTAAAACACTATTCTGTTAGTGACGCCGCAAAAAAAATGATGTGACATGCCATGTCATTAAATAATATTTTTTAATTTTTTAATTCAATTAAAATTAGTAAATTAAGAAAATCTCCTATTATTATCCCAAATCCAAACCCTAAACTAAATCAACATCATCATCTACAGAAGGGAGGAATTCACGGCGGCGCTTGAACAATGCTCATCGGGAGGAATCCCTGTTCCTTCTCCCACGACCACCACTCTACCGCCTCTCCTGTTCCTTCCCAAAACCCACAACTAGTACTTCTTCTTCTTCTTCCACAACTTTCTAACTTCCCCATCCACCGAGTCCTCCTCCCCTTTAAGAGAAGCCATCCAAAAATCAAAGAAATTTCAAACAAAACCCTAAATACCTGGGCACTGCTAAGGGGAAGCAGCACAGTTCGATTTCGCTGAACAAAGAGCAGGGGAAGGTGAAATCAGTTAATGGGTTTCCTCTCATGAGGCAAAAAAAATTGTTGGACAGCATCGCAGAATGATGGGTCCTCATCATTGGGGTTCGGGTCGGAGGTACGTTCGGCTGCAAGGGCGACCTGAAACCGCCTATTCGGACGTACACAGGTGGTTTGCTTCTGGCGGCGATAGCGGAAGGAATGACGAGGAGAAGAAAAAGAGAGATGGAAGGGATAGAAAATTGAAGAGCGAAGGAGGCGGTGGTGGTGGAAGAATAGATTCGTTTGGTGTGGAGGAGACTGTCGGTGGCTGGCCTAAGTGGTTAACCATGGTGGGTGGGATTCCTCTCGACGAGCATTCTTCAAGCGCCGCCGTTGAAATCCTCCCTCTTGTTGACGATGATGTCGATTTAGTTTAGGGTTTGGATTTGGGGCTTTGGGGATTTTGGGATAATAAGAGGATTTTGGGATAATAAGATTGGATTTTTTTTAATTTGTTAATTTTTATTTTAATTGAATTACAAAATTAAAATAATATTATTTCTAGTGTTTTTTGCTGAGTCACTAACGGAATAGTGTTTGACCGTCAATATTAACAGTCAAAGAAAATTTTGGGCCAAATTTGTCCAATAGTTTCAAAAATAGGTCATAAATGTCTTATTTGAAAAATAGGACCAGAAACTTACGCGAAACTTCGAGACAGAATATGGTATTAACACTTTGTTATTTCTCATTCTACATAACATACATAATGACTGTATGTATTACATATAATCGGTCGATTTTTCGTTCTAGAATGTTAGACAATGCATATATTTAGTTTTTGATGAGTGTGACATCTCAAATCATTCATTTTAAAGAATATATGTATCATTTGGAAGTTGTGATCGTTAAATAGATGTATTGTGGTGAATACATGTATAATATTATATTCTTTCAAAAGAAACATGTATGATATTATACATGTATTGTCGAATTCAATGCATTGTAGAATACATCATTTGTTATGTTTAATTGTGTATGTCAAATTAGTTAAAAGCTGAAATAAAACAATCTCAACAATATCACAGCTTACAGTAGAGATATAACAATCACTCATTTTGAGAGATAGTTTCTATCACATCACATAAACAATCAATGTATTGTGTCTGCTAAAAATTAAAAAAAAATGCATGTGTGAAAAGAAAATGTCATTCTACCCTATCATACACTTCTTTTTTTTTTTTGGTATACCCTATCATACACTTCACCGATGCCTACACATTTCAGTTGTCCCCTATGTCTACAAAATATATAATGACAAAACATGAGTTCATCTTTCGGCATTTTGAAAATGGAGCCCTGGGAGCGTTTCGCGGATGGGTACAATGAACATTTCACCATCATTAAATGCCGCCGTCATGCGAAGCCCAAAAATACTTCAAGCCCATTTTGTATCCCCTGTTGTCTTTTATTGTGCGGCCCATATCAACAAATCACATTCCCGTTAGCTTTTCATCTTTTTTCTTCCGTTAGTCAAGATATGTACGCATGATTGTATGCGTCATGTATGTATGTATGTATAATTTTTTATGTACATGTATGTATAATTGTATATACATGAATGGAAAAAGCTTCCACTGAAATCTCTTTGATATGTGTATAGTGTATACTTGCATTGGAAGATTGGTTAGAGGTGAACCCAATTTCGGTTGTCAATTACTAGCTTTTCTTTCCTTGCGTCAATTGGGAGAATTTTCTAAATTTTATACAATAAGATCAAATTAATTAGATAGAATGCATATAATATTGCAAGTCGCAAGAACTGATATTGTGCATTTATCTATTAAGAAATCTTAATTCAATGTATATTAGGAGACCTTTGATCAAAACTGTACTCAAGTACTCCTTGATTGCTCAATTTGTAGATATAATACCCAATCAACCCCATTCAAATGTGGTTAGTGTACTTACAATTCATTGTACGTGGAAAAATCAAAAGGTGTTGCATATTCAAGGTATCTTTAACATTGTATAATTAGATTTTCATTTTCAGATTATAAGAACATGATACAATTACTATGATGGTTCGTCATTTGTAGGGAAGTATTGCTTTGTTGCATCCGAAGTATCCAAATTATATTTGAACTTGAGTTATCCTCTATTGCACCTCATATTAAACCAAAATGTAAATGTTCTTCTACATACATGCAATATATATGCATGGGAGTTCAACCGTACCTAGGTGAATCAAGGAGTACCACATATATTGAGTAAGAAAACGCTATCGAGACTTTTAATTGACCAAACTTTGGGATGTGATATTAAACCCTAATCCTTATATATTACAATATAGGTTTTAATTTTCTAAACCTTATAGATTAAATTAATTAAAACTTATTATCAAAGATCATAATTCCTTGAAATACATGCAACAAACTACATGCATCAAATTAGAGTTTAAGGTTTGTAATAAGATGGATAGGACCTATGATTTGCTCATTAAAGATTAGGGTATAGTATTAAACCCGAAATCTGATAAATTTGGTATTTAGATAGCATTTTCTTACTAAAAATATGAGATATCATAGATTTACCCTATGTATAATATAAGTCATCATATATATGCTATATTAGTTACACATGATAAACTTTGCTATATGTTAATGCTCATCCCAAACTAAGGAAAATGAGGAACAACATTAAACATTCAGACTCATAAACAACATGCATACATCTCTTCAATTGAAGACCTACATTCATTTCGGTTATCTCCTTTGAATATGATAAGAGATTTGGAAATCTTCACGTTTGAAATGGACCTACCTTCTATGTAACCTTACTCTCATACATCTCCATTATTTGAATCTATATTCCTAAGAATTGTACATTATTGTAGGGAAGTACTACATTATTGTTGGTTATTTTTGTGATTTGACAGTCATCTGGACTTGATCCAAACACAACACATTGTCCAACTAAAAATTGTTGACCACTTTGCATCATGCCTTGTATCTTTCACAAATCCATCAATTTCGTATCCATAATATGTGTTGTGGTCAATAAGGATGAACTTTGTTAGGAAAAACATTTCATGGACACAATGAACGCCATCGAAGAACAATCGTTTTCTTTTAAACTTGATTAGGTATGTATCATGAGAAGTAACTCCATTGTTCAGCTACATACCTACTTAAGTAGCCAACCTTTATTTTATAAATAGAGAAAGACTATTAGCCGTATTTCATTGCTACTTATTTTATATTTCTCCTCTTTCTATTATATGATTACAACACTACACAAAGTTGAACCACTAGCCAATAAAATTCGTACGTGCATAAGACACATTATTATACGTCTCCAATACATATAGTATACATCAGTACCAAACTCTCCCGGCCAACGTGCATAAAACATATATTATTATATGTCTCCCATACGTATCATATAGATAATTGCTAAACTCTCCAACCAACAGGCCGGGTCCAGTGCTAGTATATTTAAAGCAGATTCATAGGTTGAAATTGTCCCATTTCAAATTTCATGAACCGGGAGTAATTCTAGGAAGGTTATTTTTGTCATTTCAATCAATTCATCTTTATATATTAAAAATGTCATCATTGGGAGTTGGACCCTGGTCACTTAAATGAAGACAGGGCATTATAACCAACTAGACTACATTATATTTATTATTATTTCTTTGATTAAACTCCATAATATGTTTGGTGATGATTGTACGTGGGCACCGGGTCAGCCCGCCCACGGGCTAGCATGACACGACATGAGCACAAACATGAAATATATAGGCCATCCCGGCACGAGGTGGGTCTTGTCAGGCCAATTTTTCAGATCTTATTGAGTATAAGAATGGACATGACAAGGAAATAATATTTATTTTATATAAAATTAATATAGAAAGATTTAATAATCTACAAAAGATATAAAGGCAAACATGAGTTGGCTTTTCAGAGATTCAAATTTCCAGTCACCGCTGTCCATAGAGCTTTCCGCGAGGGCAGGCATGTCATTGCATGTGGTTCATTTCACCATTTTTTGATGTGTCAATAAATTTGTAGACCCAGGAAAGACAAACCTCTTTATATATTTTGATTCTTCATATAAATAAAATAGTTTGAAGAATGAACAAACTCTATACTCACTCTGTAGGTTGAATGAATTTTGGCTTTATCATTTGCAATAACTTACATTTATAATATCGTGATGTTTGAAATCTTTTGTATTGTTTAGAAGTATACTCATTATTTGTCTCATTAGTGAAAGTAGGTTGAAATATAAGATTTCATATGTTATTCAAAGTTTAGTACTGAGTGCATTGATTGAGTTGTCTTTTAACTTGGTGGTAAGAATGAGGATAGACTTATTCATGCAAATGTTTATAGCCGTGGATTTAGAAAAATTCATTTCTGTTAAAATATCTACATATAATATTAGGCAATAATACTCATTGCCACTAATTGCATCACCCATGATCCAAATGGCCATATATATTTTCAATACTCCTGACTATGTATGTATCATGTTTTCCATCAAAGGACAATAATTTTCATTTATAGTGAAGATTGATTATGTATGTTCATAGGAAGCAACTCTCATGTTGTCATTCATGTACTTTTTTATATAGGCAACACTTTGTTTGTAATCATATATGTTACTATTAGTTGCATTTTCTTTGTTGGTCATTTGGTATTTCTCATGTTTCAATGCGTTCAAAGCATATAAAGAGTAGTTTGAGTATTGTGTAGATAGTTTATGGCAAACTACAAAGCAAAACACACATTATCAATGTGAATGAGAAATAGGCCAATAGGCCGGTCCTGGTGCTAGTATATTTAAAGTAGATTCATGGGTTGGAATTGTCTCATTTCAAATTTCGTGACCCGAAAGTAATTCTAGGAAGGTTATTTCTGTCATTTCACCCAATTCATCTTTATATATTAAAGATGTCATCATTGGGATTTAAACACTAGTCACTTAAATGAAGACAAGGCATTATAACCAACTAAGCTACATTATATTTAGGGTTAATACCTTATTTTGGCCTGAACTATGACCATATAATCAGTTTTGGCCCGTGATTTTGGAAATTAACATCTTGGCCTCAACTGAAATGACCCGATCTTTTTAGAAAACAAAACCATAACTCAAACCGAAATTCGGTTACTCTAGAGCATCCAAACCACTTTTTAAAATAAACAAACTGACAATGTTTAAGAATTTCAAACAAAAAGCCCCAACACTTGAGCAATAAATAACAAATCCCAAAACACTTGACCCACAAATCTCGAACCTTGAACCTCTAGTTTATTCTTGAGATAAATTAATGGTCAAACCTCAGGTGTTATATTTTCTATTGTAATCCTTTGTCTACTGCAAAAATTATATTTTCTCCTCACTTTATAAAATTTATTCCTTACTTTTACTTCAAGCTTTGTCTATGGTAATCCTTTGGTACAAGGATTTTTAGCTCTCTAGTTTGGTGCACCATAACTTATCGTATCTTCCACCTGGACATGTATATCGCCTTGATAGTTTCCTTGCATACCTTAGATCTCCTCTCGTCCACAACTTGCTTGTCAACTTTTTTGACAAGACTTATTGGGTTCTCCATTCGTTGCCAACTTTGACATCATAAAGACTTCTACGATCGTTCTATGGTTATCGAGTTGC